TATATATATATATATATTGTGACACATAGTAACGTAAAAACAATCTTTTCAAACCTCCGTTCCGCCTGGTCAGAAGTGTACTCCACAAGAGAGCCGAGGCTGCGCGAGTGCGCCTGGACACGTTGGGGTTGAAGGTAGGGTTTCGCGTCTTAGTGGTGTAGGGTTGTGAGTGCATTTAGCGCGTTTATGGCATTTAAGGTTTTTGTGCTTCAAGGGTTAAAACCTAAACCCCTAAACCCTAAACCCTAAACCCCTAAACCGTCTCAGATTCTGGGGTTTGGTGGTGTTTCCTGGGCTCTGGGGTGTCGGGGATTGGACTTCGGCACTTCGGCTTTGGGACATTGCGGGCTGAGGCTGCGGAGTTCAAACGGGAGGGTTCAAGCTTGAGGCTTTAGGGTTTACGGTTTAGGGTTAAGGTTCCGAGTTTAGCATCGAACTCGCAACCAGTTAGGAAGCCTTCGAAGACTCGATGGTCATCTTCTCCTCATCGCTGCGGAGTGGCGGCAGCTGGACCTTGTCAAATTTTAGGGCTCATGGAAGTTAGCAAATAGGCTATCTGCACACTTTAGTTTCATCTATTCAGAAAAACTGCTATAGCTACCTTGTCAAGAGTCTACATCTAAGTAACAATGAACCTTCAAGGAGCTTCGAGCGCCAGATGTGTTGGGTTCGAGGGCCAGGTGGAAGCCTTGAAGCACATGTTGAATCATATACAAAATACTCACGAAGACACACCAACAGCAGCACGGCTGCATAATATGGGCAGTGGCCTTATTTATTTATCTTCAGTTGTATGGCTGTTACTGTTGTTACAACTATTTACTCTCTGGGATGGCAATGGGGCGGTGAACCTTCTCTGACCACTCTGGTCATCTTGAACCCTTCATCAAGTGAGAATATCAACATAAGAACTTAAGGCCTAGGACCCCAGCACTAAGGCTGCTACCCCCAAACCTACGCTGCAAGCAAGCCTCTGGGAAACGCAAGAGGAAACCATAAGTGAGACCGCCGGAAACCTATGAGAAACCCATGGGAAACCGTAAGAAACCGTCGGAAACCAAACGGAAATCCCCTTATAGGGGACGGATTGACCCTGTGAGCAATTACAAAAGGGTAACGCAAAGGGAACGGGATCGCCGCCTCCTCGCAATGCATGGTTCATCTCATGCATTTGCAGTATTTTGCTCCCAGCATCGCTCAAAAGGTGAATTCGTCACTGGTGCTTTTCTTTCGAGCACGCAGTCACTTATGGGACAAGTCGAAGCTTGGGCATTTCAGTCATTGGAATGAGAGGTCGCGCTCCTTCAAGGTAGCACTTGGCCCCGGCAGGAAGAACATCCAAAAGCATGTTGGCTTGGAGCCACTCCGATGTCCTGAATGGCTGAGCATCCACGTCAGCATCCAAAGTGATGCATACGGGTGTACCCCACAGGAACACGGGGTAGGAGTAAATTCCAGTGGCCGACTCTCCCAAGACGTGCACGTCCACATTGGCCTGCAGCAGCGCCCTATATTTCAACACGAAAGCCCACTCTACCAGGTTGTCCTAGGTGAGGGCATTGCGGTGACCGTACCGGAAGCTCTGCAAGTTCAAGACATCCTGTTCCTGGATAGTCAAGACAAGGGGCGACTTGAACAAGGACTTTACGAAGGCTGTCTTGGCTGCTTGCGACGGTCCCTGCAGCGCATAAACGTTGTAGCGGTCTTTGGCCCATTGGAACTGCTCCAATAAAAGCGGAAGGCAAGGAAACAACCTGAAACTGGATTGGGCTTTACAGCGCACCGTCGCACAAACAGGGAAAACCTTCCTTCGGATCCGCGGCACAGGTCCATCAGAGGATCTGAAGGGCAAACACGCGGAAGCCAACATCCGAACCACCGTGTCGCGATACTCCGCCAGCTGCACAGCATTTTCGGACTGGACAACGGCCTCGAAGTTGCAACAGGACATCTTGCACTTGAGCAAGTAGCCTTTACACTGCTTGTTGCTGAGCTTGCCGGTGGCCCACCACCCCATGAGCCAGAAGGGCTGCACTTCATACCGTACAAATGGCCAATAGTTGGTGAAGGACCAGAGAGTGCAGACCTTGCTGCAGTAGACATACAGTGCGCACGGTTTCGAGAAACCCATACACCCTCAATCCCCAACCCCTAACCCCTAGACCCCTAAACCCCCAACCCCCTCAACCCTCTAAACCCTCAATCCCCTATCCCCTAAACCCCTACTATCCCCTAAACCCCTAAACCCCTAAACCCCCAAACCCTTGAACCCTAATCACTAACCCTGTCACCGCTCCACCGCACTCTCCAGAGCTGGGCTGCCAACCGCTGCACCGGAGGGGGCGCGCTCGCCCTGCAGTCGGACAGCACAGGCACAGAGGTTTAGGGTTTATTGGTGTTTAGGGCTTAGGGTTTAGGGTTAACAAGAACAAAAATCACAAGAATGAACACTAAGCACAACCAGAATCATGACACAAGGATGATAGTATGTATGATGGCAATTCACCACGACAACACTCACATTAATGATAACAGCAGAAGGCTACTTTACATCGCCCGACAACGAAACCGTGCCAAGGCTCTAAACTGCCACGGGAACCCTTCCGAAGCAAGTGCTCGACTCCTTGAAATCTTGAACATATCCCTTGACCTTCCTAAACTCCGAAAAAAAACCCTAACCCCTAAACCCGAACCCCTAAACCCTAACCCCCTAAACCCTAAACCCCCTAAACCCTAAACCCTAAACCCCCTAAACCCTAAACCCTAAACCCCCTAAACCTAGACCCAAAGCTCCTAAAACCCCACGGAGGCCTGCTGTTGCCTCTGGAGGCCTCTGTGAGCATTGTCAAAGTAGCCGGAGATCACCTGGAAACCCCGAGCTAAGCTGTCCTGTTTCGACTAAGGGTGTAGAGTTTAGGGTTTAGGGTCTAGGGTTTAAGGGTTTTCGGGTTTAGGGTTTAGGGTCCTGGAAGCTGCCTGCTCTGGAGGAGCAGCACAGTCAGCAATCAAGCTCGAGACACGAGGCCATGTCTGACCGTGACCAGCGACCTGATCCCCGACCTTCTCAAACCTTGTCGCCAACAAAGGGCTAGGGTCTGGGGGTTTAGAGCTTAGGGTTTAGGAGTTACTTTAGTTAAAGGAAACTACAGGTGGGAAGTTTAGGGTATATAGGGCCTCTATAAGGCTTCGATAAGGTATATAGACCTTCTATTAGGCTCCTACAACGGTAGCTACCCACCTGAAAATGTCCCAGATGTAGGGTTCAGCGTTGAGGGCTTAGGGGAGATGCGATCCGGCCTTGTTCATGGCCCGCTGGGCAGCGGCCCGCGATCCCCCCCCGGGACGTGCACTTCGCGGCCACGCGAGGATTCAAGGTGCAAGGGTTAGGGTTTAGGGTTTAGGGCCTAGGGTTTAGGGTTTAGCGTTTAGGGTAACGGTCAGGTACAGCGAATGAGAACACCAGGACTACTCCGAAGGACCAGCATTGCCAAAATACTGCTCCGGGTCCTAAATCTACCATCATCAGCGGCACCATCATCGCTATCAGCATGTTCTTGTTCACCGTCACCATCGTCATCATCGACGCCTTTAGCAGAAGAAGAAGAAGAAGAACGGGTAACAGACGACGACAATATCACAAGGGCAGTGAGGCAAGTGCAAGTACAGAAGTAGTAATAGCCCAGGCCTTTGACAGCCAGAAAACTGTTCACTGATTGACACTACCGTACACCTAAAAATGATGGCAATGATAATGGCATGATCGTTATCAGTAGCAGAATGAGCGTTGTGACGGCATTTCGTCGGGTCTTCACGATGCATGGTCTCCAAAGTATGGGCCCCGGAGAATTCGACAGAACTCACAGATTCCCTCTAGGTGGCAAAGTCCCAAAAAAGGACGCGGAAGAGCACTTCTGCTACGCCTATCATTGCTACCATGAGTACCACGAAGATTTAGTCATCGCGATGACCACTGTTTCGATTTTACGAAAGCTTCTTACAATCACGAACTAAGTACGCTTTCTAGCACGGGCCGGATCTGCGTGCCGGTCGACTCCGAGAAAAGCTCAGCAAACGCACAGCACCCTTTTACCCCTCTGCACACGGCTGGCTCGCGTGCTTCCGCGGGTGCTTTGGTGGCTCTAAGCAAGCTTAAGTTCCAGGTTGTCCTGCTTGGGTAGCCAGACGCCGGGCATGGCGATGCTGGAAATCGGGAAACGCTCTCCGGCAGGTGCTGGGCTGTAGAGAGCCTGCCAACAAGCAGAAACAGATAGGGACCTGAAGGCAAACTCCCGACAAGTGTGCTTTCAAGGGTCCCACACTATGCGATCACGGTGTTGCAGTGCCTTGACCTTGGCGATTGCTGGTGGCATGTCGCGGTGAGTCCTGCGCCCGCAAGCTTGTTCCGACGACCCATCACACTGCGAAATCCTGCAGCACTAACTTCGAGCACAGACACAGGAGGCCATGAACGCTTCTCTTTTTGGCCATGACTGCGCTTCCGCGACGCTGCTAGATGGCAAAGCCTGCTCAGAGGCCATCAGAAAGGGGCCCAGGAGCTCGGGGGTCTCGTTGCACGCCTGAATCCTGGGAAGAAGGCCAAAGACATCATCGGCCTGCTCTGCAACGAGAGCTCCACAAACAGCCGCGCTGGCGCGGAGGTCTTCCTAAGCAGAGAGAAGTGAATCAGCCCCTAAGCACAAATCCGAAACCCCCCAAACCCCTCAAGCCTAACCCGCCGAACCCCCAAAAATCCCCCAAAATCCCCCGAACCCCAACCCGATCAAAACCAAAACAAAATCCCAAAGAACTCCAGGCTTCGGGATCAGCCGAGCCCAGCAGATCTCCAGCTGAGTCCAAAGGAGGCTCCGGAGAAGCCGTCGATTCGCCAAGGTCCCAAACGGCGCTTGCCAGCTGCTGCGCGGAGGACCCCCTCAGCAAGGCTACGGGGGTCGAAGGTTTGTGAGTTCAGGGGTGGCTTTCACACATACATGCCCACATCGTGAAGATTGCTATCTGCCAGCTACAGCCTTCAAATCTTTTGATTCCAGCTGCGAGGTCGATGCGGTGGGCATCTCCATCGAGGCATGCCTGGAGCGGGATTGGATGCAGGGCCTCGGCCTGTCAGTCTGAAGCAACTCCTACTGTTGATGATATAAATCCTGCATTACCTTAAGGACCCTAAACTATGGGAATTATGGTATATTCCTTATTATGGGTAATGCAGGATTTATATCATCAGCCGTAGCTGCATGCATGCAGTGGCTTCTGAGAGCACCCGTAAACTCTGTACAATTCGATGCAGAGATTCCCTCCCGAAAACCAAGTCTTCAGCGGATTGCCAATGCTGCCCCGGCAGTGATCACTGGATCTAAGGCTCAGCGGCTAAGCGAAGCAGTCGCAAGGACAAGAGTCGCAGCAGATGTAGCATGGCAGAGGAGCAGCAGTGGTCAATACAATGACATTGACGGATAGAACCAACAATAGTTGCAGCAGCAAGAACGATTGGCAGCATAATATGCCAACGGTTATGACGCTGCTGATGATGATGATGATAATGATGATGATAATGATGATGATGAACCGGAGGGAGAGATGAGGACGACAAGGAAGATGAAGAGAAAGATGAGGACGAAAACAAAGATGGAGATGAAGACTAGGACCAAGATGGTGGTGATTGATGATGATGCTGATGATGATCGTCATCAGCAGCAGTAGTAGTAGCAGCAGCGGCGGCGGCAGCGCTGTTGTCATCATCATCTTCTTCTTCTTCATCATCATCATCAGCGGCATCATCAGCGGCATCATCATCATGCAACAGCAAACACCACAATGACAAAAAAGAGGACGATGTTGAGGACGATTTCGACACTATGAATCGAGCACAAGGAGAGGAAGGAAAGTTAAAACAGACCCCCAAACCCCTAAACTGTAGGATGCTAAGGCTCGTCTGCAGCACACCACGAGCTCGGACAAGGTTCGACGGCTCCTGGAGGCGCGGTCGGCTCGAAGGGCAGAAAATTAGCGTAGACTCGACCCTACCAAGCCTTGGCGCATGAAAGCTAGATCCAAGGGTTGAAGGTTTCAGGTCTAGGATTTACGATGTAAAAGCCGAAAGCTGGTCCACTCTGCGGCATTCAAGGCTGAAATAAGTAGAGAATCTGGTTGACCTTCAGTGGTCCTGCTAGCCAAAGCGTCAGGATGGTTGAACTAGGGTTTATGGTCTGGGATACATGTTTCAGCTCACACGGACGCATTCAATGAAGCCTTCTAAGCTTGTTGTGAAATGCCAACAGAAACCGACCCCCGAGAATCCCATTCCGAAAGTTCAAACTTCCTCCAAACCTAACACACCCACTTCGCCCAAACCCCTAACCGCCCTAACCCTAAAGCCCAAGCCCCAAACCCCTAAACCCTAAACCCCCAAACCCCGAAACCCTAAACCCCTAAACCCTAACCAGATCTCCTGCGCTGCAGACGGAAGCCCTTGGCTTCGCCGTTTAGCAGCAGCCAGTGGGGCGGCACCCTGGAACCAGGCCGTGCCGCGCCTCTAAGCGCTGTTCGCCGAAGCCTGTCTGCTCTAATCCGAAGTCGGAGCTTCGGCGGTTTAGGGTTTAGGATTTCTTGGGATTGATTATCCCCTCAACTCCACTTCCCAAACTTTTGCTGGCGCTGGCAACTTGTAGGTAAGCGGTTGTTGATCCTACAGTGGGGGTTCTATCAGGAGCTTGTACTTCTTGACGGCTGCGAGGAAAAGGAATCGGACGACTTTTGAGACAACAAACGCGAATTTCGCCTGAGAAAGTCGGAAAAGGCTGGTCCGTCCGTGTAGCAGGTAAACTAGCGTTTAAGAGCTGCGGACTTTTACAGCTGCGGTTTTGGATTCCGACCTGTTCTTGAACGCATTGGCGGTTTAGGGTTTAGGACCCCATGTAAGAACGTTGCAGTCGTAGGCCAACTTACCCAAAACCCAGAATGGAGAGAGCCTACAGCAGATCACAGCAGGCCATGTACCAACTTAGGGTCATCAAACTCTGTGAAGCCACACCCAATCAAACCCAACTCCGCAGAAGCCTACACACATCTACGACTCCTCGATAGCAAAGAGCTGCGTGTTTGCGGATGCCTGTGACGTAAGCTCCGAGAGAACTGCCAGACATGTCTTTGAAATCCTGAGTCGGCGTTGGGGGGATTGCGTGCGGAAGAGCAGGGTCTATAGGCTTTAGGGTATTTAGGGTTTAGGGTCTAGAGGGTTTAGGGTTTAGGGGTTTGGGGTTTAGGGTCTATAGGCTTTAGGGTATTTAGGGTTTTTGGTTGGCTTGCTGGTGGTTCATAGGGCACGTAAAAGTGGAGCTACAAGCCAGGTACTGGAGGAGTGTTTGGGTTCAGGCTCCAGGACTAAGACTTCGGAACATTGGGTTCCTTCGGATATCTATGACATAGCAAACCATAGAATATATATATATACACACACACATGATTTATACAAAAGAATCCAATAAACACAATGATCTAGCTTATAATAGCTACAAGTGATCGTACTATCTGGTGTCTCGACTTCGGGGTCCCCACACAAGGCCAGCTCCTCTGATCCAAGTTGGTACGGTGGAGAATGTTTTGAGGGTCTAGGGTTGAGGATTTTAGAATTTAGAGTTTGGGGTTTAGGATATTCTGGAAGGCGGCTGTCAGTCAGTCTAGGTGCAGCAGGCTAAACTCCAAGGAAGGGTGATAATTGGAATAGTCCGTTGCGGTATAGGTATGCAGGATTCCCTAAACTTTAAACCCTAAACCCTAAACCCCTAAACCCCTAAACCCCTAAACCCCAAAACCCTAGATTGATTCTGAGAGTGCCCATCCATCAGACCCCTACCTTACACAGTACACCACCGAGAAGCGTCTCCAGAAGGGCGGCATCACGCAATGCAGGCGTGGCGGAACCTTCAGGCGTGGACAGACTAGAGGGTTTAGGGTTTAGGGTTTAGGGCCTAGGGTTTAGGGTTTAGGGTTTAGGGTTTAGGGCCTAGGGTTTAGGGTTCCCGACAGATTCACAAGTGGAGCCTGGGCTGTCTGCTGCAGGACTTCACTCCCCGAAACCCTAGAAACCCTTCGGCCCCGAGACCCTTGACCCGAATCGCCATGAAGCCCAAATCGAAATCGTAAACTCCAAACTCCCGAAACCCTAAACGTCGACGTCCTAAAACCCCAAAGCCCCTTCCCTGAACCCTAAACCCTTAACCCTTAAACCCTAAACCCTAAACCCTAAAACCCTAAAGCCCTAGAACCCTAAACCCTCAACCCCCTAAACCCTAAACCCTAAACCCTAAACCCTTAACCCTCAACCCCCTAAACCCTAAACCCTAAAGCCCTAAAGCCCTAGAACCCCAAACCCTTTAAAAACCCTAGAACCCCCAAACCCTAAAGCCCTAGAACCCTAAACCCCTAAACCCTTAAACCCCCAAACCCTAAAGCACCTTGCGCTGCGTTGCTGAGGCCCTGGGGCGACGGCCCGGCTCGGCGCTGCGCGACCGCCGGGGCCGGAGCCGACGTGGGAGGCAAATTCAGGCGCTCCTGGGCTCTTTTGGAAGGCACTTTTGGGTTTAGGGTTTAGGGTTTAGGGCTCTTTGGAAGGCACTTTTGGGTTTAGGGTTTAGGGTTTACGGCTCTTTGGAAGGCACTTTTATGGGCTTTAGGGGCTTTGGGGTTTAGGGATTCAGAGCTTGGGGTTCTTTCAAGGCACTTTTATGGTTTTAGGGCTTTGGGGTTGAGGGATTTAGAGCTTGGGGTTTAGGGCTCTTTGGAAGGCACTTTTATGGTTTTTTTGGGGCTTAGGGGTTTGGGGATGTAGAGTTTGAGTTTTAGGGCTTAGAGGTTTAGGGATTTAGAGTTTGAAGGCACATTTGGGGGTTTTAGGGGCTGCGGGGTTTAGGGATTTAGGGTTTGGGGTTTTAGGGGTTCGGGGTTTGGGGTTTCGGCCAGTTTAGGGTTTAGGAATTCGGGCTTAGGGTT